CTTGTCCAGTTTCTCTCTCCTCCCCTGATCTGTGTGTCGTGGGGCTGCAGGAGGACTGAACCCCACTCTGGTCTTGTCCAGTTTCTCTCTCCTCCTCTCTTAACAAAATAAAACTTCATGTCTCCTCACCTCCTCATCCCTGGCACTTCCTTCCACATGAGCACCCGATTAGTTAATTGATCAATTGCTGAGGCGATTGGACATTGGCAGGGCTTTCCACCCTGAACGCTGCAGTCACTCCTGAACAAGTGAAGTGGAAGGAGATGGGAAGAGACATACACACTCAGAACCAGGCCCCTGGGAGGCGCCAGCGAGCGGGCAGCCAGAGTGTAGCTGATGAGCACGCTGTGCCGGAGAGCCACGTGTGTCACCCGGAGCGAAGATGGATGGGCTGCTTGATGAGGAGAGACCAGCCGCGCCTCGCGGGCCAGCTCCACTCTCAGATCGCAGGGATCGCGGCCAGCGAGTGAGAGTAAGAGTGTTGCACATATGAGACGTATTTGTAAGGTGGTGTGTGTTAAGGGTTGCATAAGGATTTATGGTGGTGTGAGGGCTGTGAAAAAGTGTGTTGAAGTTTTTGTGTGCGTTAGAGGGCTGGGTTAGGGGAGTGTGTATTAGGGTTAGGGTATGTGTATTAAGTTATTTGGTTTGCTGGGGAGTTGGGTAATAGTAAGGTGTGTGTGAGCATTGGGGTAGGAGGGTGTGTGTGGATGTATTGGGGGTAGAGGTAGAGTGTGTGTGTGTGTGTGTGTGTGTGTATTGCTCAGTTTGGGTTACTTTACAGTTTGGGCACAATAAGAATTTATTTGCCCATTGTTTGAAACCAGAACACCACTGAGATGCCCCCCACCGCTTGGAGTGATAGTTCACCTACTGTAGCTCATACCTGCCTGGAAGAGGAGAATAAAGATTAAATCAAGACTGCGTTGTGTGAACTTTCATCCTCATTAATTTCCCAGTCCTACAGTGCCGGGATGTGTGTGCTGGCAGCTTCAGTTACAGTGCTGACAACACCATCTAGTGGAAAACCCAGGAGCAATCTGCCGCCTCTAATGGAGGTGTATGAATGAACAGACAGACAGTAGACTGTGGCTGCGGTGAAACTGCCCCGCAGCTCTTCACCTGACAAGCCCAGCTCCTGCAGCTGGTGCTGCTTTCAGAGAACAGGCTGTCAGACATGCCCGTCTTGCTTCCCTTTCCAAGAACAGACACCTCCAGGCTACTGTAGTGTGAATATTTCGCTTAGCACATAACATAACATAACATAACACATTAAAGACCTAGCAGTTCTTAAGTGCTTCAACAGGACAGACTGGGAAAGGCCAGAATTTTGATCTCTTAACAGGACAGAGGGGGGCGGCTGTACCTGACCTCAGGCTCTGTACTTCATCTGTGCCATGACCTCACACTTTCATCAGTTTCTTTTCTTTCTCTGAGAGCGTCTGCACTCAGAACGGGCTGCATGCAAACCTTTATCCAGTAGAAAATGTCCCCATGAATTAAACAGAAAAAGACCAGGCCGGCAGGGGAGAATGAATATGATTTCTTGAGAAATGGCCTTGGCATAATGGCATCTGCGCCGTTATCATCCACGTGGGGCTTCCTGGAGACTGATATTGAAAGGGATTTTTCCTCATAGCAGTGCAGGCACCAATCTCCTCACTGCCTTTGTGCAACACAATCCTCCAGGCCTTGATGAGAAGCATCCTGTGTGCCACTTCAATTTTGTCCAACGCGTGGCTGAATGTGCCTCACAGGAGTGAGCACGGTCCCGCTGCTCGCACAAAGGAAAGCCATTACGGCAGCCACGCAGGGACAAGACTCCTCTACCTGCTGCCCTGCGCCGCCGGCAACAGCCCGTGGAAACTGGGGCTGTTCTCATTTATGCTCTCAAACACCCCCAGCTGTGTTCACACAGCGCTGCCGCCTTCTCCAGTCCAGATCGTGAATCATTTGAGTGTTAAAAAGCTCGCTCCCCAGTTCCCCTTTGCGATCTAAAATTAACACGGCACTTCCTCGCTCTGAAACAGCTTACGTTTCAGGTTTTTTTTTTTCGTTTCCCACATCAAAAGCTGCTGAATGCAAGTCTGATGCAAGAGAAACAAAGACAGCGAGAAATGCAACTTCAGAAAGGTCACAGACCAGAGCAGAGGGGGCCATTCGGCCCATCTGGCTGTCAGTAGTTCACTGATCAGGGGATCTCATGCAGCCCTTTCTTGAAAGGAGCTGGTTAGTTTGTTTCACACTTCCTTATCCTGTTGTGTAAACATTCCCCCTGTTCTCAGTTTGAAATACTCCTCCTACTAGTTTCCTCTGGTTTGTGTTTCTCTGTTGATTCTGAAGTCCGCTGTGTCGAGTGTGTCGGTGTCTTTGAGGAAAACCGAGACATACTCTGTCCCCTGCTTCCTCTTGGCTTGGCACAGCACCTCGGGCGACAGGACGCTGTCCTGGTGCGCTGCGCTCCACGGTTGGGAGACCCGGGTCTTCGAGGATGCCCGGGCTGTGGCAGTGTTGCTTCAGTGGAGATGGGAGTGTGCTGCGGAACTGAACCCTGGCCACGGTGCTTGTATCCGTCGTGGACGGACGATGTGACTTTTGTGTTGAATCTGTGAATCTGAGTTAATGTGGAAATTAGACTTCATTAATCGAAATGTGTCCCACATTTATCAGTTGTGTTAACACAATATGTCTGAAACTGAATGCCCGGAATCTAGGGGTTACTGTGTCACAGAAATTCAGGCATTCCATTCTCTGCAGGCAGCAGGGCTGATTTTTATTTGTGTACAGAAAATAAAACCACAATTTCATTAAGAACAGTTTCGTAAATACCAGTTGTGCTTTTCATTAGCAACTCGACTCACAACACAATGAAGTCAAAAACACCCCAGAACTCATTCATATAGACAAGGGAACTAACTTGAAAGGGTCAAGGAAAAAGTGGAAAAAATACACTGAAAATTGCCCTTGTTTTCCCTCAGGACCAACAAAACCCTTCCAAAGCCATTCTCCACTCCAGGACACTGCTACTTTGAACTCTTCACAGACATTTTTAATAAAAAAGAGGATCTATAGTAAATCAGCAAGAATTGTTGAAATAAAGCACTGAGCAAAAATGAACTTGGAAGAGAGAGAAAAGTCTTTAGAAAGCATACTACAAAATGCGCTCTCTGCGTCAGTAGCTAATGGTTTTCGACAATGGGGTCACTGAAAGGATACCCCCTCCAGCACCTTAACCCACCAGATACCGCTAAAATACTAGGAATAACCCGCAGAGGAAATGAAATGCAAATGGTAAGATAAGATTACTTGCCTATTGCTTCAGTTTGTTTTTGGAACATTCTGGGAAATGGAGATATGTCTGCAGGGGGTGTTGGAAACTCCCTGCCAGTACGTTACCAGCCGGCACTGGTCTGGGGTATACAGCTGCCAGGTTTCTGAGATGTACAGACACCGCACCAGCCCTGACTGCCCTGGGCTGGCTCCTGGTGGAAACAAAGGGGAGAGACTGTGTGCTGACAGCGTGGGAGGTGGGCTGTTCCTTCTGCGGGGCCTGTCCTGGCCTGCTCTCACTCTGCCCCGAGGGTCAGTCCTAGTTGAGCCACTTCCTGGTGCCGTGGGGGTGTCTCAGTTCATGCCTGTACTTATCGATCCCTGGAAAGAAAAAGAACTGAGCTCTAATGGGAGCCAGCGTGCTTCCTTCTGCTCCTCCAGAGACACACCCTTGTAGTCCCCATTGCCTGGCTCAGCACAGTGAAAAAGCAGCTGGGTCGACAGGGAAGAAGAAGAGAGTGTAGCTCTCCTGGACTGCAGTTGAAGAGCAGCTTTTTAAACCTCAGCATTAAGGTAAAGTTTCATGCTCATGCAGTAGAGGGGGAGAGGGAGGTCACTGCCTCGGGACACCACAGAGACCCACTGCACTCCAGCTTTCACCAGCTTTTCCCCAAGCCGTGCACCTGAGCCAAACCAGCCTGAGCCGGGCTGGGCCAAGCCGAGCCCAAACCTTGCCACTCTCATGCAAGGCAACTGGGCCTCTTGAATACTGTCCAACGTGCGAGGGCACCACGTTATCACACGGCGTTTCACAGGCTGCAGGGCGCGGATGGCAGCCAACAGCACATCAAATATGAATAGAGAAGAATCTGGGACGTCCAGAGCCACTGCTGTCGAAAATGCTTACCTTGGCTTGCCTGGCAGGCTCCAGGTGCGAAACAACTACTTTCCCAATACCAGAACTCACACTTTCACTGTATTAATTGTGGCTTCAGCACTATAAAATGGACATTAATGATGGTAAGCCTTATTGAGCATAAGTCAGACATAGTGCCTTGATGTGGTTCAATTAACTGAGGTACATTAGTGGTTTTGTATTACTGTATCTTATTGGAGAAGTGGTAGTCTATGTATTTGTAATTACTCAGCACTTTAGTACATTAGCCATATTAAGAATTTTCTAAACTAAGCACAACTCACATTAAGTGTGATATTCACAGTTAAGGCAAAATGCAAGCCTCTGTATATACATAAAAGCCCTGATCTAGTAGTAGGGGGAAGTGGCAGTCTACGTTTTCATAAAACTCTCTGCTTGGCACTCTAGCATTTTCTAACCCACAACAAACATTGTCCACATTTAACATGAAGAAATGTACTTCAGCAGAAACATGAAGAGAGAGATTTCAAAAGAAGCGTTGACGATGTGTAATTTTCAGGTTCCTCTATTATTCGCAATAGTTTCTATTGTCTAAACAGACAGAAATAGCTGAAGTGTGGCACAGTGGAGTATATATTTTTTCTGATCCCACTCACATACTCCAAAGTGTTTTTGTGGACACTGCCTGTATCAGGCTGATAGAAAATGCAGATAACTTCTTCAACAGCCTTTAAAACTAAAACACAAGTCACAGGAGAACTAGAAGAGGGAAGCAATACATTTCTGATGACCACAGAGATCCATCTACAGGCATTAATTCAGAATTCTAAAGAAACTAAAAACAAACGCTAGTGTCCCCCAGAACAAGCAAGTCAAAATGACACCTTAGACTTGCAACTCCACCATGTTCAGTCTTTTCCATCACAACTGTTAATGACACAGATCACCACTTCGATATTGAGTGCACAGTACATAACATTGCCACATCAAGTCTCATTAATATGCCTCTGAATTTCTGAGCCCCTGAACTAGAAATCTCCAAATTCGAAAATCCGACTCCAAGTTTAAACTGAGTGTCAGAATAACTAGAAAATCTTGACACAAACTTTAATAACCTCATTGCACTTACATGTTTTTATTTTTGTAAAGCTTAGAAGCTTTCTAAGAAGCTCAGGCAAGATTAAAGGAAGTTACTTTACTTTTCAGGAAAACCTGCAGACAGTCCTTGGGGTTTGGACAATCTTTGACAACATGGGACAAAGCCCAGTGCTCTTGCCGAGACACAGTAAGAGATGAAAATAAGGAGAGGGACTCCAACAGCTACCAGTAGTAAAATATGTCGGGCTTCATCCCACTTGGACATTCTGCCCAGGAGTACTGCCTGAGGCAGCAGGTTTCTCTCCATCTCTGTGAACTACCCAGGTTAAAAACGATGACCCAACATCACTGATTTCTGCATGCCTGCATCTGCCGGACCCCTGTTCTTCTCGGAAACATCCTGGCGCGGGGGTCCCTGGGCGTGTTATCCACGCACCAAGAGAGCCCCAGCTGCTCTCGACGACCGGCTGGGCGCCCGGCCAGGACCAGCAGCTGCCGGGCTTCGTCGAGCTCGGCCAGCGGGAGCCGAGCTGCGCCGCCCAGCGCAGGTGCTGGCTCCGCGTCTTACCGTGCTTCTCCATGAAGCGAGGCACCCGCAGCACCCTGAAGAACTTAAAGACGCAGAACAGGGGGTGCATGATGGCCACCGCCCACAGGAACAGCACCAGCATGGCGACGCCATTGTTGCGAATCCCTTGCTGTGGGGAAAAATAGAAGTTTTAAACACATGGGTACATCACAGTGTAGTGACAATTCGTATTTCTAGCTCCTACAGTAATTCAAGAACTCGCAGTATATTTACAGCACTTCACCACAGCTAACTCACACCAGTTATTTCAGCTCTGTGGTAACCGTGGCAGGCTGATGATGCTATGACTTCAGGACCATAGAGCTCCTGTATTCTGCACAGTAAAAGCCTTTAAATCACATTCTTTCCAGTGCCTGTACCTGTCCTCTGCCACCCAGAACGCCCTGGTCTGAGAACAGGCCTGCGTACAGGAGGCCCCAGGCTCCACTGGTCAGGTAAACTGGAACAGAGGGAGAGGAGGAATGAGAAGGAAAGAGAGAAGAGACAGGATGACCAGGGAACAGCCCTGCAAGGACATATTAGTGCATAGTGGATCCTGAAAGGAGGTGACAATGATACAGAGATGACTTTGACCTGGGAAAAGAAATTGTTTTGCTATTTTCCAATGTAAATGTGTTTTTGTATTTAACCTTGTAGTTTAACTGTCACAATCCACAGAATGACACACCACTTCGACCTCTGCACAAGCTTCGCTGGCATGGTCCGGGGAGGCAGAGGGACACAGAGCAAAGACAGAGAGACCGAGAGAGAACACAGGGGGTGCAGTACACACACAGAGCTGGCTGGAGCTGGTTGTTGACTGGACAGACAGGCTTGTGAGGCTTCAATGACAAGGCTGTTGCAGTTAAGAGCAGCGTCAATGTGCTTTCAATTCATGGCTATTAACTGCAGAGGGAGCAGCATAGAAGGCCTACATGCTTACACTCACACATAGGCACTCTCACCACGGCCTAGATCCCCCGGACAGGAGACAGAGAGAAAGAAGCACAGCCTGAAAACTGCACCCTGGATGGAGAGAGGGACTCTGACCTGGGATGACCTGCAGGGGGTCGTCCACCTGGATCCTGGTGATGAAGAAATGCACACCGAGGAAGATGAGGGAGGTCGTGGCTCCGCACATGATGGCCAATCCGGGGATGTAGGTGTCTGCCCCGGCACTGACTGCGACCTGCCCAGCACAGACAGCGCCACCGTGAAGCAGGGAGACTAGGAGCAGAAGAGCAGGGCCCTCTGCACACAATTACAACTAGCAACTGTTTCCCTATACGGAGGCTGAAGGTCTAGGTGGTACAAACTGGGGTATCAATCTAGAAGAGGGGTGAGCACCCTCCTCCAAAAGTTGATGTGCTTTTCTGATATCCACAGGAGCAAACAAGCCTTTTAAATGCTCCAAATCCACTACTTAAAATAACACTTTCAAGCTACAAAATTCTCTTTGATGGTGCCAGATCCTAGGGAGGATGGCGCGTTAACATCATTACACTCTGTGACACAGAGGCCTGAACAGGCAGTTACAGCTGTACTATAAGCAGCATCTGAGGCCACAGCAGTAGTACAGTGGTACTAATAGCACCGGAAATTATATTTTTATCACTATACCTAAAAGGTTTAAAGAAATGAAACGGAGCTTAATGAACTAGAGTGCAGGGGAGTGCACTGGCTGGCAGATACAGTGACCAGTACTCACACAGACAGACAGACAGGCTGCAGGGCCGATACAGTGACCAGCACTCAC